AGGTTAATCCTGGAGGCTTGGCAACCATATTACTACAGGATCAAAGGTGGAGCTAGCTTGATTTTTGGCTCCCCTTTACTCCTTCCCCTGGCTTGACCTGGAAACAGGGGGAAGGGATCTGGCTAGTGGATTTTTGTTTTTAACTCTACTTTCTTGGCTCCCTGCAGGGCCGAGCTCAGGTCAGATGAATGCCCTCTTCCCTTTCACTAGCTTATCAGCTCAAATCCTGGCTGGCAAGAGCATAGACCATCTCCTCGTTATTCTAGTCACCAAGTAGGCCTAATATCTGACATACCAATTTTGATTTATTGATTTTTTTTTTTTTAGTCTTTCACTGTTCTTGTTTACTCAGCTTGATTGTAATACAATTCTTGAATTATATCAATACACCTTTTTTGTTCAGTTTTTCTTCCTCCCTTTTGTAACCTTTTCCCAGCAACTTTTGTTAAAGGTTATTGTGACCTTTTATAAACTTTCACTCACTTTTTACAGTTGAGCTCATAATTAGGGTAAATTTGTAGGCCCATTATCACAGCAGGTCTTTTGCATCCTGCTTTCATTGGGTCAAAGTCAAAGATCATTCTTGTAGGGAAGTTGATAGGCATTCCAAGCAGAAGACCATACTACCTTAGAAAGCATTGGGCAACTGATTGAGAGAGAGGGATATTTTTGGTTAGAAAATGGATCTCTTCATTCAACTTGAATTTGATGGTTTTGATCAGTTGGAGATGCTTTATCTGAATGGTGTCCAACTGCTTTTCAGTCTCGACGGTGAGGGGCCATGTTTCAGTCCTCTAGGTCACAATATTGATAAAACATTATATATACTAGGTTTTGTGTCTCTACTTATCAGGGTGTTTGGTTGGTGAAAGATATTCTCAATGAGGTGCTCCATGACTGACAACACTTTTGCAGGGCGGGCTTAAAGTTCATTCTCGATGCTGCCCATGCTATCAACAACAGAGCTAAGGCAAGAGAAACCACCCTGCGTGTTTGCTGACTAACATGCTAGATCCCTCAGTGTGTTCAAAATCACTGACTGGAAGAAATTTGGTTTTACCCCAATTAATTTTCAGGCCAACATTTGCCATTTAGCTTTCCAGGACTTTAAGTGCCACAACAAGCTCATCCATTGATTCACCAACTAGTTCTATATTATCAGCAAAATCAACATTGGTGAGATTCTTATCACCAAGGCATTTGCCTAAAATTCATTTGCTTAGGCTAGTGTTTCTCCAACTGGGGTCTGCAGACCCCTGGGGGTCCATGAGGGTAGTCCAGGGGGTCTGCGGGCCCCTCTGATCAACTCCTCCTCGTCCCTCCCAGTGTCTCCTGCATGCCGGGGAACAGCTGTTCAGCGGTGTGCAGGAGGTGCTGGGAGGGAGAGGGAGGAGCGGGGCTGTGGCGTACTTGGGGGAGGAGGCAGAAAGAGATGGGGTAGAGGTGGGGTGGGGGTGGGCGTTGGGGAAGGGGTAGAGTCATGGCAGGGCCTGGGGATGAACGGGAGTTTGGGGGTCCGCAAATTTCTTTAAATCAAAACAGGGATCCTTGGGTTGCTAAAGTTTGAGAACTGCTGGCTTAGGCTAGGTCTACACTATGAGCGCTACAACAGCAGAGCTACGGTGCTACAGCTATGCCTCTGTTATGCCATACTGTAGATACTTGCCACGGTGATGGAAGGGCCTTTTTTCATCAATGTACATTAACCAATGTAGTTAATCCACCACCCTGAGCAGCAGTAGCTAGGTCGATAGAAGAATTATTCTGTTGATATAGACACACCTACACCAGGGGTGAGGTCATCTTAACTATGGTGCCCAGAGGTGTAGACCAGGCCTTAGTGTCTATCAAGTATATAGTCTATGGCAGCATTGAAGAGTTCTGGGGTAGCAAGATATCCTTGTCAAATGCCTCTCAGTTCAGAAGAAGATGGTTCGTTTCCTGTTTACAAGAACTCAGTTTGAGGAGGCATCATGTGGGAGATGGAAAATTCTACAGAGCTTGCAAGGGAGGCCTGTGAGTTTCACAATCAGCCAAAGTGATTCCCTGTCAACAGAGTCAAATGTAGCCGTGGTATCCGTAAATGCAATGTGAGCAGGGCACTTGAATTCTTATGCATTCTTAATAAGCTGGCATGCTGTGAAGATTTGCTCCATCATGGAATGGCTGATTTGTTGTGGTCTTCTCTTGCTTCTTAAGACATCAGCAGCTCAGGTGAGCAAGACAAAAAGCAAAAACTTCTCCTGGATGGATAGAAGAGCAATGCTGCAATCGTCCCAACTATTTTGCTGTCTTATGTTTCCAAAGCAGTAAAATAGTGCCTTTGTTTCCCAGTCAGACAGAACCAACTCTGTTCTCCACATGATAAAAAACATCATCTGCAGTCACAAAACAATAGCTGGTCCAGCACTTTTTAACAGTTGCTCAGGAATGCCACAGATTCCTGCTGCCTTATTTTACATCTCTGTGAATTTTGTTTGTAAATGCGTCAGGATCGTTTTGTGTAGGACAGGTGAATTTGGTGGTGGCCTTAATGCCAGGGTCCAAAGAAACAGCGGGTGTGATAAGCAACTGGCTGAAATGTTCACTCCATTTCTGTATTGGTTAGCTGATCAGAACTGGAGTAGAACACGCCAAGTGAATGATTTCTCATCAGTGAGGTCATTCAAATGTTTATACAAGGAGGTGATGTAGTTTCTGGCAGAAGTTTCCTCAAGTGTGATGGCTTTAGCTTCCATAAAAGCTTTGTGGTCAATGTGTATCACTTTATAATGAGTGCCATTTAGTTTATGGTACATGACCATATCACCTCTTAAACAAGTCATGTGATGCTGTCCAATGATGGTTAGGGTATTAACGGAGATCCAGGATTTCTTGGTTCTTTGTTTAGGACCAATGATGGTCATAGCAGCATTGGTTATTTGGGATCTGAAGTTTGTCCAGGTGGATTCAATATATTATTGCAAGGTCTCAAAGCTGTTTGAGATTTCAACTGCATAGCAGTTTCAAATGCTATTGATTTGTAGCATAGATAGTTCAAATTTTGTTAACCCAATTATTACTTTGTTTGTGCTTTTTAATCTAAGATGGAAATTTGCAGACACTAATTTATGTTCAGTGTTACCAAGCTCCGTGGATCAGTAAGTTCTGCAGTTGCTGATGGATAATTTCCAGCGACAAGAGATTATAATGTAATCAATCATCTTCTTTGTTAGAGCTGAGCTGATTATAGAATTCTGTCCTTCTCTTCATCAGATATTTCATTGGTTGGACCATAGCAAGGAATAATTATCCATCTTCCACGTGTATGCTGGAACTGGAATTATTTAAGTAGGCAACTGAAAATTGATGCAAATGATATATCAATATGCAGATATAAAGTTTAAAGAAGAGTCTCATTCCTTCCTTTCTCAAATTCCAAGCACTCGACCACATAAGATGGTAGTTATCTGTGAGGAAAGAACAAGCATCTTTAATATAGGTTAAAAGGTGGAAATTCTAATTCTATAGAAAACAACTGCTGATTCAGAAAAGCCTCTGACCAGATTTTACACAATGAAAGATTGACAAGACCTTGATCAAAGGCATGATGGACAAGGACAGAATAAAGGGCAAGATTCTGTAACTCTGACATTGGCCCAGATTTTCTGCTCCTTTACATCTTGTGCTGCTGTTAACACTTGTACTAAATGATCACAAAATAGGTGTAAACACTGCCAAATCAGAACTGTAGCAGTTTGCCCCCACTTTGCCCAGGAGCAAATTACTACACAAGGTTCAAGGGAGCGGAGATTTAGTCGCATTGAGTATTATTAACTCTTATGAGTAGTCTCATTGGATTCAATCGGACTGCTGACATGAGTAAATAAATATTATTCTGCATGAATAAAGGGTTGCAGAATTTGACTGCACGTTTTGGGGCCATGTATAAACATTGATGTAAACGAGCAGTAAGCACTCTCTAAAGGGCCAGGTAAATAGTTCTGTTGTAATTAAATACAGAAATCTCAGTAGTAACAAAGTGAGAAGGAAAAAAGTTACTGAATTAATCATTTCAAGTTTTGAGATAATATATTAACATAAGAAGTATAAAAGAAATAATTACGCAATCATGCAGTGTCTTATTCTTGTGAGTAATGTCATTGCTGCCAGTGGGACTGTAGGCATGACTACTGATTACTTTCAGGAGAACGATTTTGTGGGATTTGGCCCTAAATTTGCATTTTATTTCAGCTGCTAAAGGAGAGTGATACCATTCCATTTATATTCTTTAGTTAAGAAACAGGAAGAATTTTTTTAAATTAGTGAAGACAGTTTCTATCGGATGAGTATGCTGTGTTCTAGTATCCCCTTTGTTCTTTCATGTTATGTGTACTTTATTTTAACAGACAATCCCCTGCATTTCACCTTGTATAGTCATTTACAACTGCACAAAGTAAGTACAAAATGCTTCCATCCTGATTTAGTAGTGGTTTGCACCCACTATGCACAGGTGTATATGATAACACATGGACCAAGGCAGTGGAGAATCAGGCTCACAGGGTTTCAATCAAAGTAGCAGACAGAGGTCTTGATCAAGAGGACCCTACTGAAGTCAATAGGCTAGATCCTCAGCTGGTGTAAATCATCATACTTCTACTGACTTCAGTTGAGTTTTGCTAATTTATACCAGCTGAAGATCTGGTTCAAGCTGCACTGGTGTAAAACTGGAACGAATGAAAAGTGAATTAAGCTCTGGATTTTTACATAGAAACCAAAGAGGCATTTACACTGACTACGCTATATTTTCCTGCATGCCTTGAAGCAAAAGCCATGCAATTAGATATCAGATGAAGGCTCTTTCTAGGCAGAGACCTTTTGGAAATTGCTCTAACCCTTTAACATTTAGAGAAGCATATTTATAGAACTAGAGTGCCTTGCTATGTATGCTTGTTTTAACAAAAGTAAAAACAGAAGAAAAAATCCCAAGGATGCTATGATCCCATTTCCGTCTCTCCTAGTAGGAATACTAGGAAGACAGTCCACATTAAGGAGTGTGTTTTGGAACTGAAGAATCCCCTGACCAGATTCAAGAAAGAGATAACTTGGAGGTAATTTATTTTATACTGGTTTACTAAAGAGATGACATTTCCACTTCCAATTGTTATTTAATCTGCTCTCCCATACTAATGAATATTAATTCCTAGTGGTTATTTACAATCTATTAAATAGAAAATAATGGAGCATCCTAAAATCTTAGCACAGTTGGATCATTATGAATGTACAGATGCCAGGAACTTAGAAATTATTTCTACAACTATATCTATCTGTTAATATTTGAACACAGTTAAATGTTATTGAGGAATTACATGAAAATGTGGATAATCAGAATTATTTATTCATCCAGTGCCTACTGTTATGATGGTTTTTAACAAATCAACTTATGCTGTGATTTAAAAAAAATATAGCTTACCTTTTTGTATTACTAATAGTAGGCTAGCCCTCAGCTTGTTTAAATCAGCATGGCACCTTTGACTTCAGTGGAGCCACACTCATTTACACTACCTGAGGATCTAGCTGAATGATTATCATCAGATAATCTCAAAGTAGTCAAATGGGCAGAGTTTAGCCCATTAAGACCAAATCTTCCAAATTGATCCATGTCGGTGGACATTTACATCTGTAAGATTGGCTTGCTAGGTCATGACCTAATATAGTGAAGCAATATGTCAGAAGTCAGAATATTTCAAGTTAAGACTAGAAATCTAATTTTATCCTATGCTATATATTGGGCCTTTAGAAAAACACAATGTGTGTGACTATGAGAGATAATCAATAACATTATTGATTTTTAGGCTTTTAACATAATATTAACAGAGGTGACATCTTGTAAAATCTCATAAACCGGGCAGGATTGGTCTGGTAAATATTTGAAAAGGAAACCATGAAGGAAACCCCAGTTACTAGAAGAAATGTCATCTACTGAATCATGAAAGCCAGATTTCTAAGCTCCTGGTCCTATATTTGTGTAGACGGTATTGATTTCACCACTGGGGCCTAAGTCAGTATGAAACCCTAGCGTGGTGGGAGGGGATACTGGGCTGTTAGAGGTGACCTCTCCAAGATTACAAGTTCTGAGTGCTTGTGTTCATTAAAGATCTTCTGGCCTTTTTCACAAGAGTAAGGGAGTTCTCCATTAGAGAAAGTGTCTTGCCAAATTCAGGCTTGCTTTTATTTAATCCATTTATAGGACACCTGATGCATGCTTCTACATGTTGTACTTGGGCAATTACATTCTGCTTGTCAGCATCTAAATTCCTCTTGCAGCATCAACAGGTTATGGTATTGTTCTTCAGACTTTCTCCTGCTTTAAGATGTGTGGTGGTTCTGTGCACCATTAAATAACTGATGCATTCAATTCCAGAGGCAGCAGCTGCTACTCAACCCCTTTTGTTGTATGCAGTTTACTCCCTCTGCCCCATGTAGTTGGCCAGTGTATGGGGTTGGGGGAGAGCTTGACCACTTCCTGCACTTTTGGAAGAACTATGCCCCCACAGGGGAGCTGAAACGGTGCAATCCTTGTGTTTTTCAGAGTACAAGTGCTGCAACTGGCCTTATGCTGCATAAGTATATGGGGAAGACTCTTTATGTCCTCCCTTCCCACTGCATAAGGGGCCATATAAGGTCCAGAAAGAATCTGGCCCTACAGTTGTGAAGTCTGGTATGTGCTTCAGGATCCTTTGGGTTGAAAAGCTAGAGATACGAGATAGTAGTGAAATATATATATATTTTTAAAATACCACCAGAACAAGTGAAGCTTTAAAGCTTTATATTAAACAGTTCATGCTACCTAAACAGTATCTGGCCTGATTTTACTGATGGTGTATTTATTGTGTTTTCATTTTGTTTTTGCTGTCCCATAAACACTTTTAGGCTGTGGTCTCTTTGTGCCACATCCCTTTGTAACTCCTTCGAGCGGGGAAGGGGGCAGCAACTTTCAGATTTTTCCAAAATGTCCTTTCTAATCATTATTCCAACCTCTGTTTCAACAGTGCTAAGTCACTAAGACAAACATCCTGATTCTTCTTTCATTTAGCATGTGTAAATCAGGAGTTATCTCTAGTGATGTCAATGGAGCTACCCTGCTATAAAACTGGTATAGGTGAGAAGAGAATCAAGCTCTAGCTTGACAATATTTCATTTTCTCTTTTTTCGGAAGAGTATTTCAAACAATAACCCTTCTTCCTTACCTGCCCATCAAGAAACTCATTACAACAGTAGCTGTGATCCGAGACCTAAATAACAGAGCTGGGAATTGAACTGTGGTCGTCCAGAACTCAAAGACGTTAGATGCTCTCTGTTATTTATTAGTGAATTGTATCACCTTGGTAACTACTGATAGACAAATCAATCCTGTCATTTGTACTATTTGAAAAACATAATTACCAGATAAAGACTGATTTAATACTCGATGTATTAAATTTTAAATGAAAAATTACTTGCTAAATTGCATGGTTTCTTTGTCCAAACTCTTCTGAGAAATATAAAGGTTTCACATTCACTCTAGCTGTATACATTTCAGGTAATTTCCTCTGCAAGATACTGTTCCTCATGTATTTTAATTAAAACGAGGAAAAGAAATGTATCATCTTTGCTATATCTCATGCTAATGAATACTAGTTTGAAAATACATGTTTATTGATTTTTACATGATGATTTCCTTAGATCCAAAAGATGCTATTTATCCAAGAACATTTCTAAAAACAGTAGGGGGCATCATTTCACTTTTGTAATTCTTCTGAGACATTATCCCAGAGCATTGTGTGTGCAAACTGAATTTTCTTTTTTGTTTATGGCATTAATCCTGAGGTTAAGGTTGGCCTGTGGTGAGCAATAATAAGTTTAACCTTTGACTTCATACAATAAGATGTAATTTATCATTTCTAGACTCTTTTGTAAGTCCCATTACCCTCACTTCTGTTTAAGATAAATTGAGATAAGTGAACACTTGATATCAGTGATCTGCACATGCAAAACATAAAGAAAATAAGTAAATTAGATTCTTAGTGCTTTATTCTCTGAATGTATATTAAAAATCTAACACATACGCTTAAAGAACTCTTAAACTGTAAGTCAGCTTTTGTACTGTGCAAAGCATTCTGTCCTTTAAATAGATTTCAAGCAAATAAATATAACCCCTTCTGGCATTTCAATATTTGGAAAAGTTTTCATTAAAAAAAGATAATCCTAATATCTTCAAGGAAATAGAAGCACATTATAGCATGGGAAGTAGCCATGCATTTGTAATAATTTACTTGCTGTGTAACTTATGAGTGGAAAAGTGTTTTTTCAAATTAATATTTAAAGACAGACTCAACAATTTATACAAATTTAAAGACAATTGTTCAATTGACTTTAAATGTATTATTGTAACTGTGGTTATTCATTTGTAAAGTATCTGTGTACTGTCTTTATGCATCATCTCCTTGGGTTTTTTTTCTTGCAGCTTGTTAAATATAATTTCTTTGACAGCTGTAAATTTTTCTGCACTTCCCTGTTTGACTATAGTTTCACTGTGAATTTAAAGGACAAATTTGGTTATAACCTATCTATACTATAGCCTGGCCACTGGTAGTAGAGCCAAGTAATATCCCTTTCTGATTGGATTTCCCTTAAACCCAGAATGCCCTCATTCAACCCCAGAACCTAGTATCTCCTGCTGAAAGGAATTGTCATCTCATTTTACTGAGAAGATCTCTTGCATCTGGGATGACTTCATGGGACACCATGAAAAAGAAGTTGAGCTCAGAACTGAAAACACAGTAGCCTCCTTCCAAGAATATGGCCCATTTGCACAAGAAGCAGCCACGGAAGTACTAACAGCATTTAGAGTGATCACATGTGACTCTGACCCCCACCCTTCCTGACTAGTAAAAGAGTAGAGAATAGCTGAGATACTGTCAACAGTATTCTAAAGAATGATTCCTACCTGCTACTCTAAGCATGCAGTTATCCAACCAGTACTAAAGAGTCTTTCACTTGATGCTGGTGGTGATCTAAGAAGTGGCTTAGGTGCCTGACTTATTAGTTACTGACTTATTAGTTACTGTCCAATGTCTAACCTTCCTGTTTTAAGCAAGCAGAATACAATATCCAATATCAGCGGTTGGCTACCAGTATCCTACGTCCTTCTCAGTCAGATTTCAGGCTGAGGAATAGTATTGAGACAATACTTGTTCTGGTGGATGACCTCATCCTGGATATACACAGCATCCCAGTTTCAGGATAACTGTACCTGTATCTCCCCTTCTGTAGTCCACTTCAGGAGTTCCCAGTCCTGCGGACACCTGTCTCTTGGCAGGGAACCTTGTCCCACTCCCTTCCGACTGGGGAATTTTTAAGGCTGCACAGTTCTTTGCCTTACACTGTGATTAACTGGCGCAGAGAAAGAGAGAGAGATAATGACTGTGTATGTTGGTGGTTCAGACATCCACCAGGGAGGTGGGAGATCCAGGGACTTGTCCCCCTGCTCTAATGACTCTTTGATTATTTATACACAGAGGAATTGCTTCAGCAGAAGAGACTGGGAGCCCCACATCGGACTATCCCATAGCTCATGCTTAGACCACAGCTCTGAGAGGTAGGAGATCCCTCCCTGTTCAAAGCCTTTCTCTCCAGGATGCAGAGGGGGCAATTGAAGATGGCTCTCCCACATCCCAGCTGGCTGCTCTAACCAGGCCAAAAGTTTTATAAAGTAGTGCGATGGGGTATATAAACCTCCCACTGGCATGGAAGCGGGGCGGGGGTTGGGGGCATTAAGGAGCTGCTTTGGGGTTGAAAGGCCCCACCCACCACCCCTCCCAATCATGCCAGGAGTGGAGAAGGAGTTAAAAAGAGGGAACTCCATCATACTATCCTTTCCATAAATTTATCAGACTCGGTCTTGAAACCAAATAGGTTTTTTGCCTCCACTGCTTCCCTTGGAAGGCTGTTCCAGAACTTCACTCCTCTGACCATTAGAAACCTTCATCTCATTTCAAGCCTAAACTTGCCGATGGCCAGTTTATATCCATTTGTTTTTGTGCCAACATTGGTGCTTAACTTAAATAAC